TAAGATTAGTTGCACCCCAGTACATGGGTTAATTATGTATGTAAGATGAAAAGTGGTTCATTACATGTCTGTAAAGGGTACATTGTAACCAAAATATACACATCGGGATTATTTGGGGCAAATAGGGTGAGAGAGCAAGGAGATTATTGTACTTAATTTAGAATTGGACAATTGAAGCGGCATATCCCTACGCTAGCGGCTCCAAATGAAGCCATACGCAGGGTCCAAAAGAATGAGTAGAGTTTGTGAAAAGGATAATTGGGACAAGTGATTTCTAAAGCCTAGAGAACTTCTAGAAAAATAGGGCTGCAGGCTTGACAATCACTGTCTGGGAACAGTCTTCGCTGAGGCTATCGCAATCATGTGAGTAACTCTTCTAATATATTGAAAAAGGGGAGCCGGATTCGAGGGTCTATTGACAACCAGTTAGATAAGACAGTGATTTTCAATGTAACAGGGAACAATAGAGAAGTTGGCAGAGTGGATAGCTAAATGAAAGTGCTCAGTGGGTTCCAGAGCATCATCTAAAACTGGGGGTGAAGGTGAATATTCTTTAGTAAATTCACATAAGGAAGGAGTCTTAGTAGACATCAGAACAACCGAAGACACTGAATAGTGTAAGATACAGGAGAGGGAGTGGGGATTCAACGACAATCGAACAAAAAATTGATCAAATGGATTGCCTTCACTTGTCAATAGTATAAGTTGAAAACAATGCTGAGGATGGCGCCTCCCACTGAAGGTGTCGATTACAATGCCAACGAAACGTCAGAAGACATACTAAGTTGAGGGTCCGATGTTGGATATTATAATGACTACTATGACAGAGGAAATAGGATTGATGACATTCTACAGCCTCCCTTTTGCTTGATAAAGTTATGAAAACGAGATTATATCAACTCAATACAGGTAAAGGATACTAGAACCAAACATAAGGCCACATCATCTTAGCATTAATATCTACAAGCTAGGGTGACAAGGATAGTTTCGAAACCCATCAATTCAGTATACATTACGCCAGAGAACTTTAGAGCCATACTCTAAAAAAACTCCCTTTTATTCAAATGAGCATCCTGTTAGGTAACAAATAAATCCTCTAAGCGAGTAACCAGGGCTTAATTAGCTCAACTTTACGCTAGACATAGGCATAAATATGCCTCTGTATCTGGTTTATGATTATGTTAGAAGTAAAGCCAGCTCGAGCCCACATTATCTGACTTGGCAGAGCATATTGCCCCTTAAGAGCGTTAACAGCGCCAGTTCATTATCTGCAGCAAAAAATCAAGCCGACTAAAGACATATAGCCCTTGAATATATTCTGGTGATCTCATCCAAAAGTCAAATGGGCCACCTAAAATGCATCATTTAGATGTGATCTTTACAGTAAAGCAATCTCGCCACGTTAAAAAATTGCTCATTGAACGTCTCAACTGCTACATAGAAATAGCAAATTTTCGGCCAAACGCGTCAGCTAATCAAAGGTGGGAATATGATGATGAAAAAGAAAGATAGATATGTTTCCATGTGCTTTAATCACATGAGGCTCTTATTTCTGTTGCCTTCATCACTTGCGGCAAATCGGGACGGAGGAGACAAAATAAACAAACAAATGTAATAACGTCGAAAAAAAATGGCACACCTCTAAAGCAATCGAATATAAACAAGGCAGAAATCAGAAGTTGTTGGTGTGAGTGATATAAGAGGGTAGAGATTAGGTATATGTGCAAGGAGAGGAAGGGGAATGATGGCACAACCGTCCGACAGAAGTTTAATTAAGCGACTGGCTTCACTTGTCTCGTTGACGAGTTGAAGCTTATTGCTAAAAATAATGACTCCCTGACGATGCCGACTATGCTGCAGGCGAAACGTCTGAGAATATACCAAGTCCATGGTCCAGCACTTGGAATTATCCTAATTATGACAGCAGAGGAATTCGGAAAAGGCGCGTCCAACTAGGTCACCCTGACAACATGATCAAGTTGTGAAAAAGAGGTCAGACAATTTCTATACATAGAATTGAGAATGCGACTAAAACAGACGTCACTGCATCTTGATCTGCCTATATACAAAAAAAGATGAGGTTCCTGAATTTGTTTCGTTTATACATCTACACAGATAAAGAAATACTAGGAAAATAAAAGAAGCAACCATATTTCGGAAGAACCTTAACATAAGCTCCTGCTCCTGACTCATGACGTATCACAAAGTATTAAATTTGAACGGCCCAGTTTAGGAAATATCCCATGTTACTTAAAGATATCTCAAGTATAAAGCTACGCTATTATCGAAGGTATGAATACCAAGATAGTGTGGTCTCAGTCTCCTTTCATTGTATAGAAGTTGTTTGACCTTGTTTTCGCAACTTGTTCACATTGGTAGGAAGACTTAGAGGAACGCACCTAGTCCGGAGTCCATTGAATACATCATCATTTCCAAAGTAGGACCTTGAACGTGGTACTTTCCCAGGCGTTTCGCCGGCATTGTCAGTAAGTCTCGCCATTCATAGCATCATAGTACAGCTCGTCAAAGAGACAAGTGAAGTCAAGTGACCAAACGTGTGCTAAACAGTTGTGGTATCTCCCCTTCTGCCCTGGGATATTCCCATTTCCTATATCCTCCTATCACGCCTTCACTGTCACAATTCTTACCGTGCTTATTTAGATGTAGTGTGATGTGCTCCTTCGAGCAATATTCATGAAAACCCTTCACACTCCACGCTTTCGATATCACCCCCTTCACCCTAGTGCTGGGAATGTTGACCAGAGTCTGTCATATTGTTATGTAGTCCTTCCCTCGGTCCTATCAGTATCTCCCTCTTGCTCCGTAGAATCCGTCAGCTATCTCCATGGAACACGTATTCCACTCAACCCCTGCCTCCGAATATGTGCTACTTGAGACGTTATTCGCCCTCCCCTGCGCCTGAGAGATAATTCGAGGCTAAAGCCTCGAAAAAAGTCACATGGTCATGCCTTTGCTACATGTGTGCCAAACCCACAAACTTTTTGGTTCAACATTGAACCTAATCAAAGCAAGCAGTATCACAGCATTTGTGGGTTGGCACACAAGAGGCTAGGGCATGGCAAGTCATAGACTTGGAATTAGGGATAGAGAGAGGATCGATGCGGCGGCGATTTGAACTAGTTGGCTGACAGTAGGTTTTACAAGAGACGTGGTCCATGTTGCAAAGGCATGGCCATCAGAATTAATCAGAGGCTTTAGCCTCTAATTAGTCACCCAGACGCAGGGGAGGGCGAATAACGACTCGAGTAGCACAGATGGGGGGCAGGAGTCGAGTGAAATACGTGTACCAGGGAGATGGCAGACGGATTCTACGGGGAAAGAGGGAGACTATGATAGGACTCAGGGAAAAAGGATTACGTAACAATATCGCAGTCAACATTCCTAGCACAATAGTGAAGGGGGTGAGAACGACAGTGCGAAGTGTAAAAGGTTTTCCTGAATGCCGCTCGAAGGAGCACATCACACTACATCGAAATAAGCATGGTAAAAATTGTGGCAGTTAAGGCGTGATAGGAGGATATAGGAAACGTGAATAGCACAGATCAGAAGGGGAGATACCACAACTGTTTAGCACACGTTTGGTCAAAGGATGGGCTTCACTTGTCTCTGACGAACTGTACTATGGTGCTACGAATGGCGAGACTCACTGATGATGCCGGCGATACGTCTGGGAAAGTACCACGTCTACGGTCCGACTTTGGAAGTGATCATGCATACAATGGACTCTGGACTAGATGTGTTCCTACAAATGTTACCAAGTTGCGAAAACAAGGTCAAACAACTTCTACGCTATTATGTTTGGATTATTGAAACATATCTTTTCAAAATTTCAATTGACTTTTATGGCAAGTTTAAGCTTGTAGAGATATTTTTATGCCTATCTAATAGACACAAATATCAAAAGCTAGCATGCTATACTTTAAAGCGAAGTATGAGTATGATTTTAATGGATTCAAATTATAAGCAAAGAAATACAAACAAATGAAGACAAAAAAATAAATATGTAATATTTTCGCATGTATATTTTAAAGTCCCGGTGACAAGTCTTTTTGGACTAATTTATATTAAAACCAGTTTAAGTGTACTTACTTTACAAGGGCTTTGCTAGCATCCTTGGGTTCCTTAAATGTAATAAAACAATAGCCAATGGTTGCACCCTGTTGCTCACCAGCCTTATGCACCGGGAAGTGAAAATCAGCTAAATCGCCGAATGGACGCACCAACTGTAGAACAGCAAACTCAGTAATCTTTGAGGGAAGATTTCCAAGCCAAATACGTCTTGGATCTCCAATTAATTGGGGCTTTATTGGTTCCAGTTTAGGTCTGGCCTTAGCTACAGATATTCTAAGCTTTTTTAGCTTCTTCTTTTTCTTCTTTTCACCCTTCTCATCTTTCTTTTTAGAACCTGGTCCATCACCCAAAAGACTTGTGGCCCGGACAGCAGGGTCCTCGTATGACTCATCAGCAGTTACTTTTGAAGCCGAAGCGGATACAGTTTGGCTTTGTACAGATGTGGGTGAGCTAGTCAGACCAATTTTGTTAGAAGTCGTGGAGGAAAGCAGTTCAGGGCTCAGAAGGCTGGGAATCGAACTCGCGCTTAGAGGCTTGTGCTGTGGCCCTGAAGAAACTGGAGGAGGAACTATTAGTCGAGGACCGACGCCAGGGCCCAAAAGACTAGGCGGCTGGGCTGGCGAAGCCGTAGGACTATTGATTGTCATGCTAGACCCAAATCCTGGAGGCAAAACACCAGATAGAAATATTGGAGTGTTCGGTTCAACTCCTAGCAATGATTGCTCCCTAACCCCAGAACCCAAGAGGCTGGGGCCAGAAATAAGGTTATGTGACTTAAACCCAATATGAGGGCTTATTGGGCCGGGCGTTGGTGCAAACTGAACGGTTTGACCAATCAAAGTCGTTACTACGCCCGGACCTGGATCAATTCCGCTTGACGGTTTTCGGGGCCCAGAACCAACAAGGCTGGAGAAAGCGGTAGCTCGATTAGAGTCGGGCATAATTATAGCCATTGACGTGGCTGGGCGAAGAAAACAATGCCAGATTTATCTAAATTGGATAGGGGTTGATTGCAGAAAGCAAGGAAAGGTAGTTAGTTTCGTGTGCAGGTTTGCGCTCACAGTTATGCTACATCTTAATTTTATAATTAAAAAAATTTAACAAAGAAAACTTTTATATTTTATAAGAAGTGATTGAAAAATTGGGGGCAAAAATTTTTATTATATATTCAAAGCAAAAGATTTTGAATCCAGTCATTGCAATGTTGGATAAGGGGCTTGAACTCACACTCGAGAAAGTATAACAATTTAAGGCAGATCAAACAAGACTGTCGCCGAAGAAAATGTTTTGGAAGAAACAGAGGCTAAAAATAGAGCTCAAAAAGCTCATCCAAGAGAATCCTCATAAAATATTTAAATGTAAGGCACTTGTTATATTGCATGACAGACCAGCATGAGGATACACAAAGGAAATAAGATAGTTTATCCAACAGAAAGTGTTTAATAATCTAAGTATGGAAGCCTGATATGAATTAGATTTTCTTAAGCATTTCACATAGTGCATATCAAGACACGCATATAGATTCATTTGTATTAGGCAGCAATAATTTTTAATATCAAAATAAAGTAATCTTTTGATTTAGCTGTTGATTATAGACATCTAATCGAAAGGCAAGTAACTATCTGCTAAAGATGAAAGCTTAAGGGCATAAGTAAGTTGAATCAAAAATGCGGATAAATAAGAAAAAAATTTAATATCAAAGCGCAGGCGACAAAGCTGAAATAATGACTAATTCGAATGAAAGAAAGTGAAAAGTAAGTATTCATATGCAGAAAAGA